TTCCTCACGCATGTTTGAATCCTGTTATGGCAGTGTTCTGTTCATTCTGAAGAAGACATTCGTGCAAAAGCTATACGACTGGTGAGGAAATTAGTCCCAGATAGCAACATGATTTTTATTTATTGCTGGTGCATTAATTCTAATGTTTATTTCTCAAATGCATGCACAGGTCACAAACAAACTATATCACCTAACATACATATCAGAGCATGTTGAGCAATTTGCAACAGATATGTTGCTTAGTGCTGTGAACTCTGAGACAGATCTCTCACAGACTGGATTAGTTGCAGAAGGAATTAAAACAGAGGTAAGCTTACAGTCTAGACTGGTAGGTGTGTGAGTATCATTCTGTATAAGGCAGTAAAGCCCCAAAAGCCAGTAACAGTTCTCTTGAGGGCGTATAGCTCAGTTCATTTTGAATTTGTATATATAAAATCTTATTACTTTATAATTTATTAGATGTCAGTTACTTTTTATGCCTGTTCTCGTAAGCCTATAAATTCTCTCTTGCGAGGATTACCTAGTCAATGCAATGGGCGGGCTTCAGTTTAGAAACCTTGACTTTTCGTGGGCTGATTAGCTGACACTTATTTGCAGGCTAAAAGTCAGATAACTTTGACAAGTGTCTCTCCATGGTCTGGAACCTCCGACATTCACACTCAGCAGGATCTACAAACTTCTCGTGATGTTTCTGTTTCATCATTTTCTGAAGCCCAGAGACTAATTTCTCTGTTCTTCGCTTTGTGTAAAAAGGTTTGCTCATAGTGCTTAAAATATTCTATATTCTTAAATATTACAGTGGTTCTGATGAATACTGTAATTTTTTCCAGAAACCTAGTCTCCTTCGACTTGTTTTTGAAGTTTATGGGAGAGCTCCAAAAACAGTAATCCAGGTGAATTAGCCCCTCCCTAATAAACCCTCATGCCACTTATGTGCATCTTGTGTGGCATGGTACAGAAAAGTGATGCGATGGGATATTTCTTTTGAACATCAATTTTTGGTTTAGTTTTGGAGTAATATGTGCCATTTTCTTATATGCATCACGCATCTTCTCCAAGTTTTAGTAGGGGTAAAAGATATTCATAAACATCAAATTGATTTATTTTGTTATCTTTCTGAAATGGTTCAGGCTTTTTATCGACATATACCTATCCTGATACGAGAGTTAGGTTCTTCTTATATGGACCTGCTCCAAATAATATCTGATCCGCCTAAGGGAAGTGAAAATTTATTGACATTTGTAAGTGGCTCTGTGTTTCCCTTTAGTAAATTCATGCTGGCCCAAAAAGTATTTTTCAGTTTTTGAATCACGCTCGTTGTTTATTTTTGTATGTCAAGGTGCTACAAATATTGACACAAGAATTGGCACCTTCGCCGGATTTGATTACTACTGTAAAGCATCTATATGAAACGAAGCTAAAGGTTAGATGTGTGTATATATTTATGAAAATCAAGATTGCAAGCCTTACAAGAAAGTTGTGCTCTGCAGGATGTTTCAATTCTTATTCCATTGCTTTCTTCACTCACTAAAGACGAGGTTATTTTCTACTTTCTTTCCATGGATTCTTAGCTTTCCACTGCTTTTCTCTTAAAGGGAAATGAAGACTTGTAGTTTTGTTTTCGTTTACACTCCTGTTATTTTGCCTATCTGAAAATGTACAAACAAATAAGAACTAGTAACACTGGAAAAAAACTGAAAACTGTGTTGTACAAAAGATGATGTTTTGTAATTCCTTAGAAATTCATCAATGGTAGAATGACGGACATTCTTATTCAATGTAACAGGTTTTGCCCATCTTTCCTCCCCTTCTCAATCTTCCACCTGATAAGTTTCAACTTGCACTTGCTCGTATATTACAGGTATCTGCACATTCTCACGGTCCATCCTTTAATTGTTATCTTATTGATTAGAGGTGTATAACAATGTTGCATATAATTTGTTTCATGCACTGTTGGTTTTAGTTTCTTAATTAAAATTCTTATGGTGATATTTTTGTCTGAGAAGTGATGCTCTGATAGATTATATGCTTTCTTCCGCTGTAACAACTGGTCAGATCCTTCTTGTTGTATCTGTGATAGGGTTCTGCTCACACCGGCCCTGCGCTAACACCTGCCGAGGTACTGATTGCTATCCACGATATTGTTCCTGAGAAGGACGGGCCACCACTGAAAAAGGTATCTCCTGAGTATCTTCTGATTTTCCATCTTGTTTGAAAGTACTTTTGAAGGGCCTTGTTGCATGCACTTGTTTGCTCGAAATCAGCTCTGGTACTTCCTATTGGAATGCTTTCTTTACCATCTGTATGTCGTTATAGATTCAACAGTGATGAGGTCATCCAGAAATTAGTTGAAAAGAGACAGAAGTTACCCTTTTTTTTATCTCCTGCTATTTCCTCTTAAGCAAAATGGGCTTTTCCCACTAACTTCTGTCCATGCAAGCTGTTTATACGGAAGTCGATGATGCATCTCATGTCATATGATGCTATAGGAAGCTAGAAAACTAATAGCAACTAGCAACTGAATAATTATATTGTTGCTTGCTATTGACCTGATTAATCTGTTTTCCCATGGGCCCCTTTGTGAAATTCTGCGAGTGTGGTAGCTGTTCTATCTACTTTCTCTCTTGTTAACAGAGTCTCATTTGGCTGTGATTTTTTTTCAGATAACAGATGCATGTTCAGCTTGCTTTGAACAACGCACTGTTTTCACGCAGCAAGTCTTGGCAAAGGCCCTTGGTCAGATGGTATGTCAAGAGGGTACATATCATGGATATGAACTCCTGATTTGGATATTTACATCTGTGATGCTTATTTGTTTCAGGTTGATCGAACACCTCTTCCTTTACTCTTCATGAGAACTGTAATTCAAGCGATCGATGCTTTTCCAGCACTGGTAAGTGTCGTACTGTTAGAGTTAGGAACACGGTGACTTAGAAAAACGAACGGTCTTTGTTAAAACTGAATAAGCGACAGATATAGAATATGTTTCGGGCACAAGGTTTTCTGAAATCATATGCTTGCTATCCAAAAGGACTAATATGTAGCTAGTAATTGCGAGGGCACAATGAAGTCTATTTTGATTCTAAGATATATGTTATTATTTTGTTTAGTTGAGAAGTGAGGAAATTACAACAACAAAACGTTATTTTGTAAGTATTATGGGTCAAACTCTGGATTCTTTTGGTCGGAAATAAAGAAATATCTGATCTTTTGTCCAGGTTGATTTTGTCATGGAAATCCTTTCCAAGTTGGTGAGCAAGCAGGTGAGTAATTAATTTTAAGATCAAACACAATTATCAGCTTTGAGACTATTCTCTATCTGGTGTGGTTATGATGGAATGTGTTTTGGATGCAGATCTGGAGATTGCCAAAATTGTGGCCTGGCTTCTTGAAATGTGTGTCCCAGACACAGCCACATTCTTTCCCTGTTCTGTTGGAGGTACAAGAAACAACTTTTATAAGAAAATACGAATTTAGCGTAATCGCAGAAAATTCAAATAACTGTTGGGTATGGTTTTGGCAGTTACCAATGCCACAACTTGAAAGCATCATAAAGAAGTTTCCTGATCTAAGACCTTCTCTTACGGCTTACGCGAGTCAACCAACTATCAGAGCTTCTCTACCAAAGTACGTCCTCTAAACTAAACAGACACTCTGCTATCCAGTTCTTTTAAGTAAAAACAACATGTCAAATACTGAATCTTGATGCATGTTTTACCAGTTCAGCTCTTTCAGTTCTTGGGCTTGACAATGGGCAAGATTCACGGTCACAATTGCACCCGTCAGATGCAACTTCTTCTATCCATGGGGCGGCCTTAACGTGACCCTGAGAGAATATCGACAACTTAAAGCATTTGGAGGAGACAAAGGACGGATACTTAAATCTTGTGTCAACGGCTCGAGACTGGCCATCACACGTATATCTGACTACTAACTACATGTGTGGCTGGGTTTGCGATTAGTAGCGAGGCCAGTTATGGTAGTCCAACGTGTGTGGTCATTCATATTTTCTCTATTTTGTAGCCCTTTTTGTGTATATTATTTTGAAAAACTTCACCGTGGCCGTGAGAAAAGGGTTCACTTCTAATGGATGTACGCTCGCATCAACGTTGTTTTACTATAAAGAGAAGATAGAGTTTAAAAGGTAGGATACATCAAAAACCATATATATTATCAATTAAACATGGAGTTTACATGGTTACGAAAGTGGTGGGTTTCCATATATCAATTATCCATTTTACATGAATTGGATGATACACTTTCCACTAAGTAAGGGTTTCTAAGATAGTAAACCCAACTTTAACGGTGTTAAAAAAAACGAAATTCGAGAGGTGGAAAAATTGCTCTTCGATTGAATTTTCAGTTCCCAATCTAAGTATGAAGGGATATAAATTATGTGTAGGGATTACAGTGTGATTGATTCATACGGATATTACTTGGAGACTAGTCAAGCTCAGCCCGACATCTAGGGAAACCAAATTACCGCGCAGTTTAGTAAATTTTTCCTTTTTGTTTTTCACCAAATTCCAAGCTGAAAACCAATTTTATTGTACCCTTAAAAGTATTGCATTGTAATTTTAACTATGTATAACAAGAGATATTTTGATTTTTAAGTTTTACTAGGTTAGGTACCCAAAGATGCTAAATTAAGCGTTTCGCCTTAAAACTCATAGGAAACATTATTAGAAAATTATGCTAGACATTTTATTCCATATTTATTGTGTATAGAGAGAAGCCAACTATGTCTACCTGTAAAAAGTGCAAATTTATGCAACGGTTGTATTCGACTCAGAAAATGAAAAAAATGCTGTGGAATCATCAAATGCTCGAAATGGTAAAATATAATTCCATCTCATAGTAAAACACCAAATCCAAAACATACGAAAATTTGACGATCTTTAAGTTGACGTTTTGCTTTTTTTATAGTTCCTGAACACCTGAATTCAAAAGTTCAGAAGCCTATAAATCTTACCAGTCAAAAGTTGTAGTGTATCTTCAAACTATTTCACAGTTATGAGAGCTTCCAGATTCTTTTGTATCGTCCACCCTTGCGGATAAGGGACATCCCGAGCATCCAAGTGAAGATGCCAGTTCAGTATCCTCGAGCAATCTGGTGGAACACCTTCCATGTCGCTTTCATCTGCCACAACCTGCTCTATAAATGTCGTCTCCTGCTTGGAACACACACACCATTGTCATTGTCATTGTCATGTATAAGATTATAAAGACAGATAAGCAAAGAAAAGCTCAAAACTCATACTTGGAAGCCTTCCTTCAAATTGTCTAGTTGGCGGGTTGGATGAGTAAAGGGACGTCGCCACCTTTTAGGGTCCCAAAGTATAGTGCTGTTGAAAGCAAAGCCGGACATATCAACATGAAACCTACGTAGTCTTTTACTCTTTTCATTTGTGTGCCATCCAATTACTTGGCTTCCGTTGCATACTGGACCTTCTAGGATGGCCTTGTTTTTGCTTGGCGCCAGCATCGCAACAGGCCATGTTCCAAATCGGCTACACAAACAAATTAAAATGGGGGACAAATACTTCAGACGAAGATAAGCCTTGGATATCGAGCTGTCAGCATTAAACTCAATGGGAAATTTTTTTGGAATGCTCAGGAAACCAAGACCAGGTGGTACACAGAGAAGTTCAACAAACACACTTTCCAATAACAAGAAATGAAGTGTATTTTCTCAAACAAACAAGACTGAGAACATGGAAGCTTCAAGCAGCAAAGCGGAGAGTAAGAACAGATGCAAGCAGGCATATAAATCCCAGATTTTGTGCAGAAAGCTTCAAATTCTCAATAGTTCAACATGAGAGTAATAGGCTTATGCTTCACTAGAATCAGCGAGACTCACGCAACAAGGGACAAAAGGGGCCAGTAGAGTTCTGCATCTGCTTAACTAGCAACTTAAAATTGAAGCACAGTCTTCAAACCAAAGATCTAACAACTCTATTTCTCACAAATTACCAGGTAGCATTAATCCTACATTCCATCCATATACCCACAAGGAAGAATAAAGCCTAGTAATTTAGACTTACCTGATTTGTCTTAGGCTTTGAAAGAGCTCAAGCGTGTAGATATTGTCATCATCGGCGAAGTATACAATTCCATCGAGCTTGTGCAACTCGATATGTTCCAAGGCAGTGTTTCTCTGGTGGACTCCTCTGTCCCTGATACTCGTCATATTCCTCTTGCAAACCAAGTGTCTGTACATTACACCTGTCTTCCTCAGAATCTCCGAGGTCTCAAACGACGCTGCATTGCCCTCCACCACTATCCATAGCACAGGCGGCTCCACTAGCCTCAGCGTTTGAGCAACCCTGTTCAAGTAATACGCCTGCATCGCTCGGTTGTACGTTGGTGTGACCACAATTACGAGCTTCCTCGGCACAATATTGAAATCCTCCTTCTTCCCAGTTTCACTCTCCGCCACAAAACTTACCCCATCTACGGAATTCTCTTTCCGTTCTTCAACGTTCGGCGGCGGTTTGATCTCGAAGGAGAAGCGATCGGTACCGTTCACATCCTCCATTTGTCCGTACGGTGTCATGCCTAATAGAAATCCGAGAAGAAAGAAAGCGAGGAATTGGTAAAACGGTCGCCGCCATCCGCCTCTGCGCGAGCTTTTAAGGTCAGAAGTTGCTCCGGAAAGCTTGGCGAGATATGAGAGAAATTGCGAGGAACTATGTTTACTGCTACTCTTTTGAGACGGGGATGACATAGAAGAGGGTGAGAATGGTGCACCGCCATTCTCGTACGGGCGATCGTGATACACCGGCGAGAGAGTTCGCCGGATTGAAGCCATCTCAGATGATGTCACACCTCACATGCCCCAAATCAAACATTCGGAAGAGATGAACAGAAAATTTTGCAGGGATCAAAACAAGAAGAGCACCAATTCGCCGGATAATCAAGCTCTAGCTCGCCGATTTGGATCCGTCGCTGCGGAGATCTGGAGGAAAAGTTGCGGGAGAGAGAGGCGCAGGCAGCGATTAGCACTCTTGTTTTATTATTGTTAAAGCTACGCTGGTTCGTGGGACACGTGGCCTGTTTATGGCTCGGAGAGGGTCAGACACTCTGTTAAACAAATCTTTAACATATGATTAACAGTTGAGGAAGCAGTGTAAAATGGTAAATCGTAAATGGTAAATAGTATAAATTTAAAACTGCTTAACATTTTACTATTTTAGTAACAGCTGAGGAAGCAGTGTAGCTGGTGATTGAAAATGGTAATAATATTTTTACTTTTATTTAGATTTGATTAAGACAAAATAGCTATGATTAAAATGTTCCATCTCTTTTTCAGATTACTAGAAGCTTGTAAATTAACTTTGAATCCGAGACAAATAGGTACAATTTACAGTCCAAATTCAAAGGTTCATGTTGTATTAAGGCTTGATCCAGAACTGAACTCTCTTTCTTCATTTGTTGTTTTAGTAGCAACCTTCTTTCCTTTGTGCTTTGATGACTTCACACTGAAAGATTGAGCCACAGTTTGCTCCGCCACATCTATATCTATATAAGACTTTCTAGATTATAGCTTGAAGAATATTTATGCAACATTTCATTCAACTTTGTTCTTTTTGAGCTTTCACTATTTTTATAGCTTTAAAAGGTGTAAGAACTTCATGTTCAAGTATGAAGTTACTCTTGTTATTATTGTAGTAGAATTGTTATGCAATTTGGATAACATCATTTTTAGATTGACCAGTAGTTATTTGACTCAAAAAGCATTATGATTACATCCAATAAACTTGCAAACGCTATCATGTAATTTTTGTCATATTTGCTTGCAATTATTGCATTCTTGCTTTGGTATGTTGGTAAGTATATGACTTTTTGAATAATATGCATACAGTTTGCTTCTAAAACCATATGCTTTTGTTTCATTACTTATAATTGGGTCTTTGCTAGTATTTTAACCACACACTAATGAGAGCCATATTTTCATATGGATTCTGTTTACGTTTTGTTTTTTAACGACATGTTATAATTTGAAGTTGGTTTGGATCATCACTCTCTCTCAAATAAGAATGAGTGAGATGTTACAAAGGAAAAAAAATACTCTTGGATTAATTATTAAGCTCGGAATTGTCACAGTTTCTGGTAAGTTTTGGTCCTTTATAAAAAAAACTTTTGGCAAACTATTAATTTAATTGATGTTACTGAAACTTATGGTTCATAATAATGGAAAAGACATGTCCTATCTATTTTTCATAGAACTATAAGTTTACCAGCATGTTGGTTACAAATACTCCTTTTGCAGGTTGACAAGAATTTTCTCATCTGTTAATAAAATTGGAAGAAGATTACGTACAACTGCAGTGTTCATGAAAGTGGAGTACCGCAGTGGTACGCGGTCCTAACCCGCTTGGATTTTATGTTAATTGAGCAAGTTAAGCGGAAGACATTGTTCGGCGGTTTAAATGGGTTAGACGGTCATTAGGCGGATATAGACGGAATTTTTTTTTTTAAACATGAAAATGACAACATTTAATTATAAAGTGATAAAACTATTCTAATTTTAGTATTTATAATATTTATATATGTTACACTAAATATTAAAATTATAATATACTCTGTCTATATTTATATGTTTATAAAACTATTTTAATTTTAGTATTATCAATTGGAGTATATGTTTATCATGTAAACGTTTAAAACCGTCTAGATTCCGATTAAACATTTTAGGTCCCAAGTTCTGGATCACCCTCTGCTTAGCCTTGCGCTTTTTTGAACAGTGTGTACAAGGATAGTTATTCATTAAAAGTACTCTCATCAATTAGTGCTCCAATCACCATCGAATCATATTTTCATACTTTGTGCCTAACCATAGCTGAGGTATTGCACTAACGGACCCACAAATTCTTTGCCGACTTTTTTTTTTCGTTTCTAAATCCATTTTATTCTCGATCGATGGATTTCTTTGTTAAACCAGACTTGTGCTACTGATTAGTTAACCCTCCGACCCAATCCCGGCTCTAACCACCACGATTATCCTCTTGCATTACGGCTTTTGAAGTTTAATTCCGTCAGATAGACTATTGCAATGAATCACATAAAACTTTACAATTTTGCTCTCTTTTTTTGTAACATTAAATTGCAAAGTTTTCTTGTTATCTTCTGTTCTTTGTATAGAATTTTAGGTTAACATTTTTCTCAGTACTTGAAATATTTAGATTGTAACGTTATTATTTGCATCTTGTATTCCTTTTCAATCCTTCTGATCCGTTTCATACTTTGCTCGGAATCTCTCTTCTAAAGGTTGTATTTTTTCTTAAAACTTTTTTTATGGGTGTATTGGATACACTGAAAACTTTTTTACTCTTTTTTAAAAAAAAGGTGTAGCTATAAGTATGAAAGCTTGGAGAGCAAATTTCAGTTTTTAGCATTAATCACAAATCCCAACAAAGATAGCATAATGTATATTTAAACTCGCATGGGTCCAATATATTTGAGGACTGGCTCTGTTTAAGCGGATTCCACCACCTTACCCCTCCCATTCATATCTCTTTGCTTCTTACTTTCCCTTTCCACCATCTCTATTCTCTCTCTCTCTTTCTCTCTAAAAAACAAAAAAAAAAAAAAAAGTGGGGAGATGCAAGAACTGCCGGATTGTTTGTACGAGGGAAAGCAACCAACCTTAATCACTCCTACATCTCCCACACCTAATCACTCTCTATACCTCTCCAACCTCGACGACCATTATTTTCTCAGATTCTCTATTAAGTACGTTTACCTTTTCCAAAAATCTGTCCCCTCTCTAACCCTCAAAGATTCTCTGTCTAGGGTTCTAGTTGATTACTACCCTTTTGCCGGAAGGATCAAAGTCTCTAATGACCAAAGCAAGCTTGAGGTTGATTGTAATGGGGAAGGCGCGGTTTTCGCAGAAGCTTTCATGGATATAACTTGTCAGGATTTTATTCAGCTTTCACCTAAGCCAAACAAGTCTTGGAGGAAGCTCTTGTTTAAGGTTCAAGCTCCGAGTTTCTTGGATATTCCTCCTCTTGTCATACAGGTCTTTTTCTTCTCATTTTGTCTTCGTACTTCATTTATATTTCTTTTTCTTGCTTAGCAACTTAGCATTTCAATATCAAAATCATGACTGGTTAGATTGTTTCCATATTAGTTGATATTTTGTAAAAGGACTTACATCGATTGTTTTAGGGGTTAAACATAGCTCGAATATTTTAGGTTGGATCGACTGTTCTGTTTATATATTCTTTCAGGGAAAAACTAACATTATAGATTGGTATTTTTTTTCCTGACTCCTAAATTGATTCGGCTACTTTATTTTTTTTTCAAATAAGAAATGCATACTTTTATAGGTCGTGCATAACGCATTCGATGTATGAATAATATAAAGACTTTTCCTACCACATTTCTTCTTAAAATACGTGAACTTTAATAAAGAGATTTGATGGAAGAAAAAAGAAGGGCACATAGAGAATAAACTTGTCTGTTCACTCTTTTTCTTTTCTTGGTTACAAACTTACAATAACAACAAAAAGTCTTTTTTTTTCTTGCCTTTAATTAGATTATTCCACATGTCTTTATATTAACTCAATAGTAAGATTTTTATACCGCGTCATTATCAAGATTCAAACTCAATAGAGTACATATGGTTGGCAAAAACAAAAAGTTATGTGCGTCACTATAAACTAAGCTAATTTGAATATGCACATTTTATTAATGCTCGTCGACTTTTAGAAATAGATCGATATATTCTCATAATTTTTGTATAAAGAACATGGAAACTTTACGCATTTTATGAAAATCCGTTATCAACAAAAAAAACTTTACGCATTTGTTTTTTGCGAAAACCTTTACGAAGTTTTTTTTTTTTTTTTTTTTTTTACGAAGTTGTTGATTAATGATGACTCAGGTGACGCATCTCCGTTGCGGGGGTATGATCCTCTGCACCGCGATCAATCATTGCCTTTGTGACGGCATCGGCACATCGCAATTCCTACATGCATGGGCCCATGCCAACACCAATGCTCATTTTCCGATCCGACCGTTCCACTCCCGCCACGTGTTAGATCCGCGAAATACACCACGTGTCACGCACTCGCATCCCGGTTTCACCCGAGCCACCACCACCGTCGAAAAAACCTCCACCTTCGACATTTGCAAGTATTTACAATCCCAACCACTGGCTCCCGCCACCTTAACCTTCACTCCATCTCTTATCCTACGCCTAAAGAAAACATGCTTTCCCTCGCTAAAATGCACGACGTTCGAGGCACTAGCCGCTCACACTTGGCGCTCGTGGGCACGGTCTCTTGACTTACCGTTGACCATGCTGGTCAAACTTTTGTTCTCTGTTAATGTGAGGAAAAGGCTGTGTCCAGAGCTTCCACAAGGGTATTATGGTAACGGATTCGTGCTAGCGTGCGCCGAGAGCAACGTACAAGACTTAGTCAATGGCAATATTTACCACGCGGTAAAGTTAATACAAGAGGCGAAAGCGGGAATCACCGACGACTATGTCAGATCGACAATAGATTTACTGGAGGATAAAACAGTAAAAACGGACGTCACCTGCGGTTTGGTTATTTCTCAATGGGCTAAACTGGGACTAGAGGAGTTGGACTTGGGAGGAGGAAAGCCAATGTATATGGGTCCTCTCACGAGTGATATCTACTGTCTATTTTTGCCGGTCGCTGGAAACTGTGATGCTATTAGGGTTCAGGTGTCTCTGCCGGTGGATGTTGTGAAGAGGCTAGAGTATTACATGGTTAAGTTTCTAGATGAAAAAAGTAACGAAGAAAAATCTCTTGTATAATAAAGTTTTTCTTTCAAAATTTCAATAATATACCTCCTACATTAAGGAGCTCGTGAGAGATGAACTTAAGTGGATTCTACGGAGAAAAAGGTCGCTCCCGTGACGATTTTCGAGTGTTTCAAATAATTTGTTTTTGTTCATTGGAAAAGTTACATATCCCTCCGATTGGTAACTGATACTCCCTCTATTTTATAATAAGTGTTTTTTAAAGACTTTTTTTGTTTATAAATAAGTGTTCTTCTCACAAATCAATACAAAAATTAATGTATTTTTGTTATTTTGACTGTTTGAATTCTGCAGATTGCTTTTTTATTGGTTGAATTATATTGAAGTTGATGATAAAACATGTTTTATTTTGAAAAAATAAAAACTTAATGATTTCTTAATCTGTATGCATAAAGGTAAAAAGACACTTATTAGAGAACAGAGGGAGTAATAGAATTTTTTTTTCTACCAATTACTCAAATTCAATACTCATGTCCAGGAACAGTAGGTGCAGTGTACTACAGATCTAGAGAAAAAATAAACTTTTAGTCTTAAAAAAAGGCACAATCAAAAATATAATTTTGATGTTGCCCATAGGCTTACAAAATCTTTAAGCCGGCTCCACTCATGTGCTTATAGCATTTGAGGTATTAATCCATGGAGTTAAGATTAAAACATTAAAATATCATAAACTTTGAAAGCCTTTAGTCAAAAAAAATAATAATGCAAGAAACTATCTATGCTAAGAAAATTCAAAGAAAGACTAAGACTTTTACCCGCGCACGCGCGGGTCTGTATCTTAAATAGGTTTAAAATATATTCTTAAAGATTTTTTTTTAAACTGCAAAAATCAACAATTAAAATTTATCAATATTTCAAACCAAAATTCTGTAAATTTTTTTTTTTAGATATATCAATATCGTGTTGAGATCAAATCTTGACATACAAAAATATTGTTTAAATCATATCCCGGTAACTAAAATGTTTGTGTATGTCTAATGACCAAAACTTACTTGAAATATTCAAATCATTATAATAGGACAAACTTTAGTTATATATATATATATTGTAAAATGTAATGTTAATTTATGAACTATTGTGACGTGTTAGTCATTTTCTAAACAGAAATATATTTTTAAATATGTTTAGTGAAATTCTTAAAATTAGATGTCAACAATATTTGTATGTAACATGATGTTTATTTAAAATAACTTCAGTTGGTTATGTTAGAACTTAAAATGCTATAAATAACAATATTTGTATGTAATAAATTTAAGCTAGATGATAAACTAATATTTTGGTAAGTTTTCAATGGTTATAAAACCTAAAACCTAAATGAAGAAGCTAGTCGACACACATAATTGTTCTTCATTTTCTTCTTCGTTGTTGTTTTAAAGTTTTTTTTTAATTTTCTTTGATTCATTCTTTTTCAGTATCTTATGTTTTGTTTTCTTCTTTGTCTTTGGTCTTATTTGATTTCTTCTTCATTTTCACTCATCTTCGCGTTTGCTCTTCGTCTTCGCTCTTCTTTTTTTTTCTCTTTTTTGTTTTGTTTTGATTTGGTTTCTTCTCCTTTGTTCTTATTTTATTTCCTCTTTAGATTGGTCTTCGCAAGTTTTTTTGTTGTTGTTAGGTTTCTTCTCCTTCGTTCTTGTTCGAATTCCTCTTCAAATTGTTCTTCACAAGTTTTTAATATGGTTTTTCCTTATTCATCTTTGTCTTCTTTGGTCTCTATTTTGTATTCGCAATTCAATATCTTTGTTTTCGCTATTCTTCGGTTTTATCTTGGTACTCTTCTTCTTTGTGTCTACTTTTTTCTTTTTTTTTCTTATTCTGTAGGTTATTTCGACCCTTAAAATTCTGCATGGTTCCATTCCTCTTGTAAAATTCTGCATGGCTCTATTCCTCTTAAATTTCGAATAAATTATAATTAAATAAAACATAATTTCGTTACCTGAAAAACTGAAAATAAAATCAAGCTAGAATGACTTATTGAACAAAATATATTCAAAACAGGCCCTTTGAATGTCATATGTAAATACTAAAATGAGAAGGAATTATCTTATTCTGTTTTTCATAAATTTACTTTTGTTCATATTCCTTCTCTTTCAAGTGGCATCTTTTAAAAGTACTACTTATAAACACATGAATATGTAAATATTACAAAATATTTTAAAAAAAAAATAGAACATGAACAAAATACAGCCTTCTACAGTAGAACCTCTATAAAGTAATACTCGATAAAGTAATACCTCGATAAATGAGTAGAATTTTTGAGTCCCGAATTAAGGTTTTGGTCTAATTATCTCTCGATAAATTAATAATCTCGTTAAAGTAATAAAATATCAAGGTCCCAACGTTATTACTTTATAGAGGTTTTACTGTATTGTGTTTGCCTTTTCCTTTCAATTTGTGTCATGTACTCATTATTCTGATTTTTTTTTCTTTCTTCAGAATCAATATTATAATCTCCATCGAAAACTTACTAATCTAGGAGCAACAATTCACTTTTGATTTGACACTTTGGTAATTTCGATTCCTTGTTCTGTTCATAGTCCTTTGAATTTTTTTTTGGTAATATAACTTATTTATTAATTAATTGGATGTACCTTCATTATCAAAATACATTGAAAATCAATTGAACACCAGAAGACCAGATAATATTTGTAATAAAGCAAGCGGATTTATTTCTTTCATAGAAGGACATGTATACCTTTAGTGTGATGTCCTTTGTCTTCGTTTCAATCATTCCTTTGATTCATGATCTTTCATTAATCCACTACATATCCTTTAGAAGAATTGATCGATCTATGTGAACTTTCAATATATGATGTCAAAGTATCTTGTCTTCAATATATATCCCTCCATCTTGCTTCCACGTGGTTTCTCGATGTTGGATTTGTTTGATCTTATATCAAGCTCTGACGTGAACATATATATTTATTCATGTAAGCTACATTTGATCAAAATCCAGTTAATATAATTGTAACTTTGGTAGGTGTTAAAAAGGGAGGACATGACTCTTGGTATATCTTTATATTATTAATTGAGAAGTACATGAAAAATTTATGACAAAAAAACCAATCTAATTATGAAGAGAAATTATTTGGCAACAGATTTAATTATAGTCAATTTAGTACATTGTAATGTTTGGATACAAGAATAAGAGAAAAGATTATTTGGATAGAAGAATAAATGGAAAAAAATTGTTTGGTTATAAAAATAATAACTTAAAACAAACCGATGGTTTAGAAAACTTCCATTTTCCAGCTCTTAAAAATCTGCAAAAAAAGAAAACTTAACATAATCTAACGATAATACCAAATCAATAGAATATGATTTTGGATTTTCGGGTTTAAAGTTGTTTTTAAAAAAATTTAATTCGGGTTCAATTCAGGTTTCTTTTAAAGTTTTTTTGTTTTGTTTTTGGGTTTAGTGATATAAAAGTCGTTCAAGTTTTTTAAATTTCTGAATCGGGTTTGGTTTGGGTTTTTCTAAACAAGTTCGGGTTTGGATGAAAATCTCAGACCTAATTTCATAGATATACATAGATATAGAAATTGTTTGGGTTTTTTTTGAAAATTTCTGTTCGGTTTGAGTTTGAGTTTTTTTTGGGTTCAGTTCAGGGTTTTCTGGATTTTTTTTTATTTTGGGTTTTTGGATTTAGACATATTAAAAAAATTGGGTATTTTAAAATTTTGATTAGGGTTTTTAAGTCGGATTAGGGTTTCGGGTCAAAAAATGTAGAGTTTATTTTAATTGGGTTCAAGGTTTTCGGGATTTTATGGATTTCGAATTTTCGGGTTTAGACATATTAAAAAACGTTAAGGTTTTTAAAAATTTTGATTAGGGGTTTTGGGTCAGGCTCAGGTTTAGGATTTAGATTTTTTTCACAAAATAGCAACGTCACACCGCGCGTTTACACGGGTCTTTTACTAGTATAAGAAACTAAATAGATGGCAAAAGTGTGTTATGGTTTTTATTTTTTATTAGCTAAAGGAAAATTTCCGTATTTGTTTCCTTATTTAATTTTCAATAGTACCATTATTTTTTTTATTTTTTCTTAAAGGAAAATTTCCTTCTTTATAATTCTGCTAATAAAAATAAAAAGTAAATCAATGAAAAAAAAATTCAAATATAAATAATTTTAGATGTTGATATATAATGATATTGTTGGTATAATTTTCTCATTTATTACATATCTCTACTAATATTACACTTATAAATTCTGGAAATTTTCGTATTGGTTATCTTTGAATTATGAAACTTTCTTGAAATAGAAAAATATAAAAAAGGAATTTAACTAATCGAACAAATAGCTAATTTTATATGATGATGTGGAATGATGCTATTGATTGTTTAAAATTCAGAAACTTTCTTAATCTAGGAGATGCTTATGTGGACCAATCAAATCACGTTTTATAATCCTATGTGGACGCTCTCAGACTTTTATATAGTATAGATGTATATGTACCTCCAAATAAATTGATTTATGCATATTTTCCCCCAAAACGGAATTTGCCTAAACGTGAATTGGTGAATTGATCGCGATTTCTATTTTTAATTGAATTTGAGGAAATAGACAGAAATTTAAAAGATTGGATGGAATTAAATAGATATAAAATTATGGGACAAAATATATTTTCTTTAAAATAAATATGCAATTATTTCATTCAGTCATATTTTCACGTTATATATAATTCTTTAATCTATAGTTTTGAGTTTTTAGATACCACATATTTAAGACTTTAAATTTTATTAAAAATGGAAAATTCTTTTTTTTTTACTGGTTGACCAAAAAAATAGTGTTTTTACGTTTTGGTTTTGGTTGAACCCAAAATAGTTATACGTTTTGATCCAATTAACTAAAATAAATCAAAACTTGAAACTACTCATTTTCCAAAGAATCCCATAAATCATCTTTTCTATAACCAAAAGGACAAAATCTAATATACAAATAGTTTTTAAGGGAAAACGGCTATTTTATACCCAAACTTAAGATGTATGTTCGATTCATACCCAATGTATACCACTATCAAAATCCATACCCAACTTTACATCAAAATTTAAATTTCATACACCAACTTTCATTTTTTTTATTTTTATAAATTTTCTGTGACGTGGCTAATGGTCCGTTAAACGCCGTTAAAAGTTGCTTACGTGGATTAGTGAAAGGCGACGGCAAAAGTTTGGTTAACGCAGAAATTTTACAGTACGGGCAAAACGACGTCGTTTTGTCTTTCATCATTCAAAACGACGTCGTTTTGTTCCTCTTCTTCAAACTAAATTTAAGCCACGAACTCGACAAATTGGGGAATTCTTCAGCTAGTTTGGGTAAACAATTCGGTTAGAGAGAAAGCTCTGTTCGAGATTATGTTCTTATTTTTCCATCTCTCCGTATATGTGTTCGACAAACGGCCATGTCTTCTTCAGCTAGTTTGGGTAAACAATTCGAGATTCTGTTCTTACAATATATTATGATTGTGTGGAGATAGTGTAATTGTTTGTTATCGTGAAGGAGTGATTCCTCCCAAAGTTTCAAACTTTCCACTATGATAAATTGCAAAGTGAACATCCATAGATTTGTTGCAGAATCGATTTTTTTTTTCATTTTGTCGAACACTTGATGTGCATAAAATTTGACATTCATTTTTAACAAGAACGAATGGAAAATACCAAAACTGAATGTTACTAGATTGATTCACGCAACCAGTTCTTTCAGTTCTCTAACAAAAGAGCTTCCAATGATTCGAACAAATTCGTCTTCTTTCTTATCTTATGAGCACAAATAGTTTGAACACAAAGATGACAGAGCTTTCTCTTGAGGGATCGAGAGTAAACAGAGAGATGGAAAAAGATGAAGCCATTACCAAAATGAAAAAAAAATTTGAAGCCTTTGAAGCAGTAAGTTGAAGGGAAAAAAAGAACTTGAGAATTGAGATTTGGTTTTTAAGCTTCTTGTCTATAAGATTTCAAATTTCAAATGCTTCGAGCTGCCAATTTTATTTAATCTACACAGATCTATCTATCGAACTCTCGCCATTCTTCTTCTTCTTCTTCTTCACTCTCGTGACTACGACAATTTTGCCCGTTGAAAAAGGTAAAGCCTTAATTCTCTCTAGTTTCAAATTCCGGAATTTTTATGTTGGGGTTTACTCGTAGTCTTAGTCTTAAATGCAATACTTTTTGAATTGAGGCTGTGATGGAGATTCTTGGTCTGCGCTGGTCACTATTCCTGTAGACTCATAAACCCTAACCTGAAATGTTTCAACAATTTTGGTTCTTGTCGCTTAGTTTCCTTTTTTTTTTCCCGTGAGTGTTCAATTGGGTTTTGGGGAAAGAATATGAGCTGGATCTTGCTTAGACTGAGAATTGGTTGATTGATGATTCCTGGCAATTAAATGTTGTTGCTTTCAAAGTGTAGTAGATTTCTAGTATTCAAAGCGCCATGAAAACACGGTGGAGGCACTACTTCTCTCGAGCTTTGACCTCATCAACGAATGCAAAAGGAGAAAACTCAGAGACAATCTCAACTGATCTCATCACCGAAATCCTCTTGAGATTGCCGGGGAAGTCTGTAGCGAGAAGTCGCTGCGTATCGAAACTCTGGAACTCCACTCTTCGCGGTCAGTATTTTACGGAGCTCTTCTTGACCATGTCTTTGGCTCGTCCTCGGCTCTTGTTCTCCTTCCGAAAAGACCGCAAGCTCTGCTTCTTCTCGGCACCTCAAGGTGAGAGCTCCTCGTCTCCTGTAACCGCAGATTATCATCTCAAGTTCAAATTAGATGATTCATACGAAGTCTGTGGTCATGTTCGTGGGTTGGTCTGCCTTGCTGATCTCCGAGACGTTAAGGGAAGGAAAGGAACAGCTCCGGTGATATGTAGCCCAAGCACAGGACAGTTGTTGCCTCTACCAAAAGTGAAGACGAACAAGAGCTTCTTTAGCGTGAGGAGTTTTCTTGGGTTTGATCCGACTGATGAAGAATTCAAGGTATTGATGATAACCGATGGGATTGAGCATCGAGTTCTGACGTTAGGGACTCGAAAACTCGAATGGAGAATGGTCGAGTGTGGCATTCCACGTCATCATCCTCTTAGTGATGGGGAGATATGCATCAATGGTGGTGTGTATTATATAGCTCGCTTTCTTGGGCCTGGGCATCAGTATATTCTTGCTATAGTTTGCTTTGATGTGAGGTTGGAGAAGTGTAGAGTTGTTAACGAGGATGAGTCCATGCGTCTAGGTTGTCCAACTCTTGTAAACTACAAGGGAAAATTAGGTGCTCTTTTTGGAGGAAGCAGACGTTTTGAGCTGTGGGTTCTGGAAGACGCAGAGACACATCAATGGTCGAAGCATGTATCTGTATTGCCACAACCTCTGTGGGAGAATCTAGTTCGAAAGGCCAAGTTATACATTGTTGGAGTGGCTGGTGGTACAGATGAAGTTGTCTTGTGGCCGCGATCTGTATATGATCCGTTCTATGTTTACTACTACAGCATGGAGAGGAATACTTTGAGAAGAGTTGTGATCAAAGGAATGGACGCAGTTAGTGACTATACGAAGCACATGACTCTAAACTATGTAGAGGACGTGAAGTTTATGGAACATGTTTAGGACTAACTTGAGAAATAGATCAATCATGTCTTTCCATTTCTAGCATTTCTTGTTTTTTGTTGTTGTAGTGTTGCTACCTTAAGCAAGAAAAGTGAAGTTACTTTCACTACAAGAAAAAGGGGTATCTACAGCTCACGTTAAACGCTATCATTAATACTTCATAGCGCTACTATGAACGCTATATTATCGACAGCTATGGTAGATCACACCCTATTATAGCAAGAGTGCTATAGTATCTCGTCAATATATTTACATGCTATAATAGGGTATCTCATATTATAGCGACCACTCGAGTTGCTGTGGTAGACTAAACACATAATATAGCATTACCTGTCACTCGCTATAATATCACGGTGTAATTCAGTGTTTAAATTCCGCTATCATATGGTCTGTTATATCTTATTAAAGACGCTATGGTACAATACGATAATTTTATAGCATAAATTAGTTGTTATATTAGTTATATTAGTTATTTAGAAAACTGACAAGTTTGAAATCAACATCATAACATAATGCTCAAACCAACATTATATTTAGAAAACTGAGAAGTCTACAACCAACATCACTATATCATTCTCAAATCAATGAAGTCTCAAACCAACATCCATAACTAAATAACATAAGTCTTTTAGAGTCTAACTCATGCAAGTACTAGGCCAAACCTCATAAGTTCTTTAACACATGATCACCTTGTTCTCTGGCCACGCAATGGATGTACCAATAGCATCTTCCATACACTCAATCTCAGAACACAGCCTCCAAACTGCTGCATCACCGACTTTCACCACGTCTATCCAAACTTTAACAGCATTAGGACCCAAGGGAACAAAATGCACGGTTTGGTTAGGGTTGTTTGAAGCCCAACGACCTTCAGCTACAACACTGCTCCCATTAATGTCCAGCAACTTACAATTACGGTTCTCTTTGGCCAAATTATTGTCAAGGACACGCTGCAAAAATTCGTAACATATATAAACCATTTTCATACAGTATAATGAGTAGTAAACACACACAAGCATAGAATAAGGAAGTTACCGGAGATCTTCGAAGAGTGGATTGTGAAGTTGCCTGAGGTTCCTTCATAGGAGCTTTTGGACTTGTTGGTGGTGACTTGCGGTATTGTCTTGATGGAGTTTGTATACTTATTGATGCAGGTTTTCGACAGATTCGTCTTCCAAGATGCAGTTTTACCTGATGTTGTAATCCGAACTTGAGATCTTTGGGATGTTGCATCTGTATTATCTTGGATAACTACTCTATTGGCAGGCCACGACACAGAAGACATCAAAGAATCGTCAAGGTAAGTCATGTCAGCTGTAGGCCTCCAAAGAAATGTCTCTGGTACATGTACAACCTCCAAGAAAACTTTAACTGCCTTTGGTCCAAGAGGGATACCGTTAACTATTGTTTTTGGATCATCTGACTGCCAACGACCTTCTCCAACAATCTCATCGGAGCCGGACCAGTCAATAAGTTTGCATTTGGTCGAAGAATTAGTTGTCATGCCCTACCATTCGCAGAAGAGAGTTTATCAGATTCCAATATTTATAGTATAAAACTATTGATCGTTTGATGTAAGAAAGTTTACCTTATTCGCAATATCTTCTGATGTGTCTAAAAGAACATAGTTGGTTGCAGGCCATGCAATTAATTTACCGATGGCCATGCAATTAAATCCGCAACATGTGAAGCATCTTTTGCACTCGACCTACACATTGCAGTGGCCTCGTAATAAACCCCACTATTCTGACTCTGCCTGTCCACTGAGCTAGTCTGAAATCGGTGCCCATTCACTATATAACCGGTGTTGACATCGCACTACTACGTGGACCGTAAGCCAACCACTTCAGTGTTTCGTCATTATCTTCCGAGGTAATAGGTATCTAACAACATAATGAGTAAAGTCAGAAACATTGTTAAACGATTCTGACATAGACTATTACAAGGACTAAATAATAAATGGATATTGGACTTGCCTGCTCTTTCAACCAAGATGGAAAATTCTGTGTATGTGTACTCCACAACGCTGTAGCATCACGTCTATATCTTCCATTACTGTCTTGTAGTTGTTGTAGGTGCATGCTTGTAGAAACAAAGGTATAAGGTTAGTATAACGAACATAAAAAAAGAACAGAGAAACCTTAAGTTCAGACGCTTACTCGACATAAGGTTCCACCACTGACATGTTATGAATAACAACAAGATGTGCAATCTTCTTCTCCATATCCGTTAGTATAATTGATTTGGCAGCTGATATTGGACGACCCTCTAAAATTGTGTTACTCTCATATTCAGTGTTTCTTTCCTGTTTGTCTTGCACGTTTGTAGTCTTCTTCAGAAAGTCACTGCAGAACTGCACACACTCTTCTGCTAAATAAGATTCAGCTATACAACCCTCTGGTCTTGCAGGATTTCTAACAAAGTCCTTTAATACTTTCATGTACCTAGACAGAATACCAAAATGGAATTATCACTATGAAGACATTCAATTGAAAAACAATGTCAAAGTTTAAAAACATGTACCTGGATACATCCAACGAAATTGGACTGGTCCACCTAGTCTTGCTTCCCTACCTAGATGAACTGTCAGATGCACCATTATGTCAAAGAAATTTGGTGGGAAAAATCTTTCAAACATGCAGAGGTTTCGACAATTTCAGCTTCCATTACTGAAATTTGTTCCCTATCTATAACTCGCTGACATAGGTAGTTGAAGAATGCACATAGACGAAAGATGGCGACTCTCGGACCTTTAGGAAGCAATCCTCTTAGTGTAATCGGTAGCATCTGCTGCATCAGCATGTGATAGTCATGCGATTTGAGTCCAGAAATCTTACAGTCTTCTAAGGAAATTCCCCTGGATATGTTAGAACAATATCCATCCGGTCCCTTAAAATCAAAAAGTCGCTTGCAGAAGATTTTCTTTTCGGCTTTGGATAGAGACCACGGCACTGGTGGAAGGTAAGTTCGTTTACCTTGTATGGTAGGATGCAAATCCTTCCTCATACCAAGATTTTCCAGATCCTTCCGAGTATTAAGGCCGTCTTTAGATTTCCCACAATGCAATAAAGTTGAGACAATGCTGGATGCGACGTTTTTCTCGACATGCATTACATCCAAGTTATGCCTCACCGGTAATTCCTACACAGTATCAGATAAAAGCTATGTAAGAGAAAGCTTGTTAATAACTAGATATCGCATAAAAATAAATAAACGAAATGCGGAACTGTACCTCCTAGTAAGGCAGCTTGAAAAACACTGATCTTTTTTTCCATCTCGAGACCTCGTCTTCGTCTATATCATCCTCTTCCTCTGATTCTCCGGATTCCTCATCATTATCAGAGCATGTTTCCACACACGCATTCCTTTTTCTTTTGTTTCCAGTTTGTTTGACATTCCCAAAGTTGTTCTTGAAATTTCTAAGGTTTTTAGAAATGTCACGACATGTTAATATCCTACACTTTTGCCCATGCTCAACTTTTCCATCAAACCATGTCTTCTTTGCGCGAAATCTATGCGTTGGAGGTAGACCTTTCCTATGACACATGTAGACGTGTTTTCTGCTAAATTTCAACCACATACTATCCGTGTTTTTTCCGCAAAGAGGACAAGCCATTTTACCTTTCACTTTACATCCAGCTAGATTACCATATGCAGGGAAGTCGCTTATGGTCCATAGGAGAATCGCCTTGAGTGTAAAAGTGTTTTTGCTGAAGGCATCATAAGTGACCTCTCCGTTACTCCACATATGGCTCAAATCCTCAATCAGAGGTTCTAAGTAGACATCAATACTGTTACCAGGCTGCTGCGGTCCAGGAATAAGCAGTGTGAGCATGATGTTCTCTTTCTTCATACACAAATCTGGAGGCAAATTGTAGTTGACCATCAGAACGGGCCAGCAACTGTACATGGTGTTCTTCATGTTGAACGGATTGAAACCGTCAGTAGAAAGTCCTAGTCTGATGTTCCTTTCTTCAGCAGCAAATGCAGGAAACTTGTGATTCATTTGATCCCAAGTCGGGGAATCCATGGGATGACGGAGTCTTCCATCGCTACTCTTATTACTAAAGTGCCACCTCAAGTTTTTTGCCATTTCTTCTGACCTAAACATTCTCTTCAGCCTTGGAATTATAGGGAAATACCTTAGGACTTTCTATGGGACACTTTTCTTGACTTCTCCCGTGTGCCTATTAGCCTTCCACCGTGAAGCTTTGCATTTAGGACAATTGTCGAGCTTCTTGTATTGCTTTCTGAACAAGTAGCAGTCATTTACACACGCATGTATCTTCTGATACCCCATATCAAATGATTTCAGAAACTTCTTGACATCGTACAGTGATGTATGGTGCACATTGTCCTCTGGTAACATTTCAGGCAGCGTCTCCAAAAGATCATTGAAGCTCTTGTCAGACCAGCCGTTATGTGTCTTAAGTCTAAATAGCGAGACTATAGCTGATAATTTGCTATGGTTTAGGCATGACCGATACAACGGCGTCTCTGCATCTGCTAGCTTCGCTAAGAACTCATCTTCTTTAATATCTTCTCCCTCTGCAATATCAGAAGAAACGTGCTCATCATCAAACTCCTCAGTAGCTCTATACAGCCCAACAGTCTCATCATTCCAATGTTGCGTTGCTCTTCCACTTGTAGAGTTTGAGTTCACTTCTCCATGATGATACCATTCCCTACAATGCTTGTAAGCCTCATCCATTACCCTTGTCACAAGATGTGCGACTACATCACTGCTTGAGTGACGATCTACATTTAGACAGTCTACACACGGGCACACGATCACATCAATCTGTCCTGTATTTGCAGCCACTGCCCTCACAAAACTCCAAGCACCTCTCTCATAAGCTGGATCAGCTCTTCAATGAAGAAAACCGTGAAGAATAAGAAATTTTAACTCTAGAAACAGTAGCTGAAACTACCAAATTAACGTGAATCCGTACCTGCAAAGACTCACCCATCTCTTGTCCAGCATTTTATCTTGAAAACCTTAATTAAAACATTTTAGTTCGACAAATATTTCACAAGGACAAATCAGTAGCAACAGAAGAATACTGACTGAGATTCACAAAACTAAAGGAGAACCCTAAAGTTCACAAAACTAAAGGAGAACCCTAAAGTTCACAAAACTAAAGGAAACTGTAATCGACTGAGATTCACGAAACTAAAGCTCGCAGAAGCTACCTGTGATTACGGAAAACGATTTTGACGGATGTGGAGAAAACCACCGCCGACGAATTACGACAATGCTGGTGGTGGTAAGGTTCGAATGTGGAACGGAGGAGCGTGACTCGTATGTGGAACAGAGGAGCGTTGATAGTGGCAGCGGCGAGGCTCGGTCTCAGGGCTGGAATCAATTTCTCCTAAATCGATTTCGTCTTTTTTAAATAAAAAAATTGTTTCAATTTTTTTTTTGGGGGAAAGGGGAAAAGACAATATGTTTTGGCGGAAATCCTCTTTTTTTTTTACAAGTGTTGGCGGATTATGACATTTTGACTTCCTGCTTATTGTTTTTTTAATTAGCACTAATTAAACGCTATTATATATAAACCAAAATGCCAAATTTATATTTCATAGCAGTTAGTAAATCCGTGCTATCCTAATGTGCTATCAATGCCCCTTTTTTTTGTAGTGTTTCATTTTATGTGTTACTCTTTGTAACATCTTATCTACTTGATATGAGCTGAAAAAAAAAGGCAACTCGTATTGGTATGGCAGATTCTAGAAACTTTTGTTAATGCAAGCTCTTAAAATGAGCACAAGA